TTCGGATGGCCAAAAACAGGATATACATGTATATTTCTTGTTGTTCTGACTTTCTTTAACATACATTTCAATTTCTTCATCGTACTAGCTGTCGGGTTTCTTAAATCGACTCTGGTTGCAATTGCATTCCGATTGCGAATACCATTTTTTTCAGCCGAATTAAGTTCAAATCATTGGAATTAACTAAATTAATTATATCAACAATTATTTACTTCCTTTTTTCATAAAAAAATCGCTCGTGTTTATAAATTTTTAAATTTATTGAACTAATTTATTCAAATTGTTGTATACAAAAATGCAACCATGCGCCACAACCACATGTTTTTCGTGTTTGCAAATTCTTGCTGGCAAAATTTTTTCCAGCAAGAATTTGCAACTTCTCTCCAAGAGAACTGTCACTTTGCTCTCACAATTTTTGAGTGTTGGATATTTTTTGGTCTGCACGAACGCGATTTGGGCAAAAATCGTGATAATTCGTACAAATTCGTACAAATTTTTTGCTCGACGAACAAACCTTTTACCAGCAAAAAATTCTCGGACTAAAACTGATAACTTCTTACAGAGAGAGAACCGTATTTACTCTCTTTTTTGTGCTCTCAATAGTCAGAGAACCGAGTACGGGATCGATTTCCAGTAAAATCTGACTGATTCTGACTATTTCTGACTAGTCCGGACTCGTACGGGATCGCAACTATTATTTTTGCATTACATAGTTCCTAACGCAAGACCTAGTTGCAATGCAGGTGACACTTCGGGTGAAGGGAAGACCCAAGGATGTAGTTTTCGCTGCCGCTTATTTTCCAACAACATACCCCGTGCAGAGGTAAAACAACTGGTCACGCATTGCAGAAAGGCCCGACTTCCACTGATCCTCGGCTCTGATGCTAATGCTCTCCACGTAGAATGGGGAAGTTCCGACACTAAGGGTCAAATTTTCAGTACAAAAATCTGTAGTTAACTGCCGATTCTGAGGTAACTACGCACTGTGAATTCGGACCTAACAGAAGAGGTGAGTCGTTACTGTAGTACAAATTAAGTGAGCATAAATAATGTTGGACATAGGCCAACATTTATCACTAGAGTAGGGCAGGAAGTCCTTGACATGGCCCTCAGCAACAGTACGTGTAACGGTCTGGTCAAACAATGGAGAGTGTCTACGGAGCCTTCCATGTCTGACCATAGAATTATCAAATTCTTGCTAGGAGCAGAGGTCAAGGCATACGCTCCGATGAGGAACCAAAGAAACGCTAACTGGGATAAATATAGAGGGCTTTTAGCTATAAACCTACCGGGTTTAGAGAGGGGACATAGAAAAGGTGGCTGTATTTCGCTAGAAAATAATGCTAACAGGCTAACGGACATAATGACCGAAGCCTGGAACTATAGCTGCCCTGAGACCAAACCGAAAGTGACGACCAAAACCGCATGGTAGTCAAGGGAGCTTTCAGCGCTCGGGAAAGAGGTACACAAACTTTTCAACAAACCTAAGTACACAGGAGACTGGTATGAGTATGCAGCTAAAGTAACGATCTACAGCAAAGAGATTAGGAAGGCGAAGGGAGCCCAATTTTAGAACCTTCTGTGAAGGTATTTCGAAAACCCCAGCAGCTGCGAGGCTACGCAAAGTTCTAGCCAGAGGAACTGGTGAGAAACGTAACTTGCGCTAAAACGCAGTGACGGCACCTACACTAGAAGAGCGGGCTACCACTGTGCTTGAGACTCGCTTCCCGGAGGCCACTCCCATTGAACTGGAGCCAGAGATTTGGCAGACCAGGCCGCGACCATCTGAATGGAAACTGGTCAGAAGTATATTCACCCAGTATTCAGTCGGATGGGCGCTGGGTTCGTTTGAGCGATTTAAAGCCCTAGGGGTGGATGGCGTCCGGCCAGTCATGCTTCAACAGGGTGGAGAGAACCTAACACTGCACCTGGTGGACATAATGAGAAGCACTCTTGCGGATGCTTACATTCCACAGTTGTGCTGAAGTTCACGAGTAATATTTATCCCGAAAGTGGGTAAAAGAGATTATTCGCTAGCGAAGCCATTCAGAGCAATAAGTCTAACCTCCTTTGTTTTGAAGGCAATGGAGAAGATAGTGGTCAACTATATCAGATATAACATTCTGAAGGCAACACCCATATAAGCACGCATACAGAATTGGAAGGTCCACGGACACAGGTCTGTACAAACTGGAGAGGTTTAAAATTGCGTTAAGCAGTAAAGCAACCTGAAGTACCTCCGCCTTCGAGAGTCTCCTTCAGGATAGTACACTGCAGTGGTAGACAGACGGCTCGAATACCCCAGAAGGAATCGGGGCTGGAATCTCTGGACCCAGGACCAGGATCTCCATTCCTATGGAGAAATACCCGAGCATATTTCAAGCAGAAATCTACGCCATCTATTTGTGTGCGGAGACCATCGTAAACAGAGGATACTGTAATGAGAGAAATGTAATTTTAAGTGACAGATAGGCGGCACTCAAGCCTCTTTAATCTTTTGAAATCAAATTGTCTCTGGTCCTTGAGTGCATAGAGAGGCTCAACTCCCTTGGTAGGCACAATAACATCAACTGGCGTGGGTTCCTGGCTATATGGGAATAGAGGGAAATGAAGCGGCGGACCGATTGCAAGAGAGGTGGCATCCATTACTCCAGTTGGCCCTGAGCCCTTAATAGAAGTGGGTCCCAACACTATTAGAAAAGAGCTCAGGGAGGAGAGGAACAATATGAGGGACTCGAACTGGTATAGTTCGGTAGGAATGTGTCAGACAAAAAGCCTATTGGGCGGGTATAACAAGAAGGAAGAAGCTGAGAATACTAACAGGTTTTCTTACAGGACACAGCAGACTAAGAGGGCATCTATAGAGAGCCATAAACGTGGTCACCCAAATAGACAACTGCTTGCTGAAGAGCCCTCGCCCAGGCACGTCAGGACCACAACCACCAGACATTGACGAGACGGAGCTTCATCTGCCTCACCAGAAGAGAACCACAAAAGCCCAACTTCGCTCTGGCTACTGCAGCAGGTTAAACTCATACCTACGCAGATGTCTCAAATGAGTATCCGGCATGCGGAGAGACACCCCATGACTCGAAACATCCCTTCGTATGCCCGGAAAACCCGACAACCCTAACGCCTTTGTCCCTGTGGATCGGCCCTATTGAGGCTGCACGCTTCTTAGAGCTTCCGTTAGTGGAGCTTGACGGCAGCGACTGAGATATTTACCGATCTGGGCGGGGTTATTGTAGCCGCTACAACAACAACAGGGCATCTTTATATTCAAGCTGAGGATACGACTAAATGACCTTTGCCGGTTCTGCATACCTCATCATCCTATCTATCTATCTATAGCTTTTCATGCAATTATTGTAGTGAATATGAATTTATCTGTCGTTAGTATGTAAATTTATTGGGCAAAGCATTAGCTACCAAGCGTTCATTGTAGCCAGCATACTTTGAACGGGCGTACTGTCAAACCAACACCAAAGGAATAGCCAACGCGAAAGTTCTATGTAGATGGGCCTTTACAAAAAAGAAAACAAACATCTATTTTTTTTTCTATTTTTCCATGATAAAAATATTTATTCAAATTTTGTATCATGCTATTTTTCTACTTATTTCAGGTGGAACGTAATTGTCATCAACTACTTTAGGCTTTTTCTTCTTTCCAAACCATCTCTTGGGGTAGCTTTTATTTTTTTTGAATATTTCAAGATCAATTAGTTCCTCATTATCAAAATACCAAAGCTTTTGCTTCTTCTGAGCCAGATCTGTTAAGATTTGGTCAATATTTTCTTTTCGCTGACCAGATGGCACTCCGTTTATACTCTTATTCCTTTCTACAACATCTTGTTCTTTCCATGCGGCGTATTTGTTTTTTTGCTGCTCGATTAGTTTTACTTCCTCTTCTTTTTTAACCGCTTCTAAAAACGATGACAGTAGATCATCCAGCATTTTGGAATCTGTAGTTTGTTCCAAACTAGAATTTATGGCGTTTACTAGTTTCTCATCCACGCCCTTCTTGTTTTTTAGCAGAATTTGACTGTATTGTAACGTGTCCTTACAGAAGTTAGTATTAGTTGCTAGCAAAAGCGATGTGGCCAAATCATTTTTATTAGTCAACAAACTTCCTAATAATTTAAAGTTGGAAGTGACGTGATTCGCGTACAACTGGGATATTTTACAAATAGCTCTTCCAATCTGGGTAGGTAAATCTTGACCATCCTCGGTATTTCGAAGAAATTTCACTCGTACTTTTACCTAGGAAAATAAGTTATAAGTCCGATTTTATTATACATTTATCATAAAAGCATACCCACCTCATCTTTTTTTTTTGTTGGTTTTGTTTCCTTAACCAAAGGTGGAGCAATTTGTTCAAGATTTTGCTTTAAATATTCAAAGAACGATTTTAACATTAAACTGACTAGTAGTTTATTGTCCAAAGTGTCTTGTTTAAATATTTCCAAACCAATTTCAGTAGCAGCCAAATAATTTTGCTCTTGCAGAAAATGATTCAAAAGATAACAACCGATGAAATCATCTACGAATAAACCGCTTTGCAGTCGATTCTTGACGTTGGCCAATAATTCATCTAAATTTTCGTTATCAATGAAGTTTCGGAATATAGCATAATTCGTGGCTTCGAATACAGTTGCCTTTTGTGGTTCTGAACGCAACTTCAGAAATGTTTCACTGAATTCGTTGTTCCTGTTATCATGTGCAATGCCATTCACTATGTCAATCCGTATAATTCCTTGCGCCGGCGAACTTTTGGTACGCGCATAATTTACGTCTGCTGCAGTTATTTCAAAATCACTTAAAACGCTTTTATATTCATGTGATAAATAATTTCGACATATTTGGATGCCAAACTTGAATTGTGTGCGAGGTATTTTTAACCTAAACATTTTTCGCAAATCCTCGGTTTTGATTATACAATAAGAAACGAAGTGAAACACAGGGTACGCTTATGAATAAATTTCCAAAAATCCTACATTTAAAAATATGGATTAAAACATGGCAGGGTTCAATTTGCAGGGTGTACTAAATGAAATTCTTCACCTTTTTTAACAGATTTTTTTTTTAGTATGATGGTTAACCTTTTTTTTTGCCCTAAATTTTAGTATAATATCTGATTTTTGGTATTTTTAATTTATTTTGCTGACGGTCCAAAGTAAAACGTATGTATGTGTGTTCGACAATTTTTGAAAATTTTTTTTGCAAGTTTTGAAAAAAAATTTGCAAGTCCAGGTTTAAAAGCTTTGTTAAGTCATACTTTATAAAACATTTTAAATCTTTTTTGTTTCTTTATAAATTTGTGACAAACCGCATTAAAAACTTTTACAATAATTCATTTATAAAAAATTAGCTTGATATTCATATTTTCGCTATTACATACATACATACTTATATACAAATCTTATTTTTTAAATATTAAATAAAAACAGATTATTATATTAGATTAAATAAAAACTGCTAAATCAAAAGCTACAGCCAGGTGAAAGATACTTTCCCATACAACAACAGCGAAGCATGGTTCAACTACCACATAGTTTCTCCAATCTTGACATAGTTAGTAAAGTACGTCATAATCGAAGTTTAGGAGTGAAATCAGTAATAAATTTCCGTTAATAAAAATAGGTGCATTATAATTGCAAATGATTTCGGGAAAAACCAAAACATCTAACGAGGTGAGTATTTAGCCATGTTTCGGAATGAGTTCGTATTTACTTGTGCTGTAAATTTCTAGCTTTGTATCTAGTGTACAATGTACTGCATATTCATGCGTTCAATGTAAATATGTAGATGCAGGTTTTTTATGGGTGTATCTGTGTATACAAAAGCAAAAACTGGTGTGTTTATATATAAAATTTATTGCTATATTGATTGATATTATAGGCATACATATAATGTATTCAATTACTAATTACGCATATTTTTGTATTTCTAAAATATAGAACGAATCAAAACGCCCAAGATTTGTACCCGTCACTACCTTAACAGATGTCCAAGCTGTTCGATGCGCCGAATTTCATCCGAATGGAAAGTTATATGTTGTCGGATCAAATTCGAAAACATTTCGAATTTGCAAATATCCGCAATTGTCTGAACTAAAGTAAATATTTCAATTGATTTTATAATACTCCTAATTGTAATACGTTTTCTTTTACTCTATTTAGAAAGTTTCAGGAAGTACAACAGCCTACTGTTTTATTTAAACGCACAAAACACCATAAAGGCTCAATTTACTGTACAGCATGGTCGGCAGATGGGCTACTAATAGCAACGGGTTCCAATGACAAAACCGTTAAGCTTATGCATTTCAATAACGACGAAACACAATTGGAGGGACGGGAAATAGATTTGACTATGCACGATGGCACAGTTAGAGATCTATGCTTCTTAGAAGATTCCATAAACAAATCACGGCTGCTTATAAGTGGTGGAGCTGGCAATTGTAAGATTTATGTTACAGATTGTGCAACTGCAACCCCCTATCAGGCGCTCAGTGGTCACAGCGGACATATACTGTCTTTATATAACTGGGGAGGTGTTATGTTTGTTTCAGGATCGCAGGTGAGTTTATTAGCTCTTATATCATTCTGAAACAAATTCTTTTGTAATAGCTTTGTTTTGATGACTGAAAATTTTCTTAAAATGGATTTGTTTTTACCACCTATAAAATTTAGACTGATGTTTTTTTAATGATTTAGGACAAAACAGTTCGTTTTTGGGATTTACGAACCAATGAATGTGTAAACACAGTAGCTCCAATAACACTTCAGGGGTCTACATTTGGTTCACCTGTCGCTTCAGTATGTGTTGATCCCTCTGGCCGTTTACTTGTTTCTGGTCACGAGGATAGTGCCTGTGTGCTTTTCGATATACGTGGAAACAGGCCAATACAATGTTTTCAACCACATACTTCGGATATAAGGTGCGTTTTAAATGAATATTTGAATTAGTTGCTTTCGTATTTACGAAATATTTATACTTGTTGCAGATCGATACGTTTTTCTCCCTCGGCATATTATTTACTTACATGTGGATATGACAATAATATTGTACTTACTGATTTACAAGGCGATCTAACCCTTCCCCTTCCATCTGTGTTAGTCGCACAACACAGCGATAAAGCTATTTCAGCACGTTGGCATCCGACTGATTTCTCCTTCCTCTCCACTTCGGCTGATAAAACATCAACACTATGGGCCTTGCCACCGTTCTGAATGCCTTAATTGACACCTACCAGTGATCCTAATCTCTACGCAAATTAATATTTTATTTTTTATGTTATTTATAAATCCAAAATTAAATACGATGCCTTATTAGAAAAACCAGTTTAAGTTGTATATTTGTATAGCGCTGCTCGAGTTTGAAACGCCATTGGCTTGTACAATTACTTTGACCTTTTTTGTATGCAGGCATATCGTCACCATTGTATGGACAACTATCGAACGGGTTGTTAGTTATAAAATCTAAAGATTTTCAGTTGCAAGTTTATTTTTTAATAAATAATTTAAAAATTTTTTAATTCTATTAGCTCCTTAGTAATCGAGCGATTTTTGTACAAGCAGTTTCGAAAGAAAATTAATTAAGACCCGCGATTAACTTCCGAGTTAATTTTTAACACCTTTCAATTTGAATTCAAAACGAGTAAATTCCACCTGGTTAATAACGCGTTTAGATGAATTGCCCTAAAGTGACTTTGGTTGAAATTCACTCCGAAGCGAATTGTAAAAACTGCCTGAAAGATATGTTTTTAACCGACTTCACAAAAAGGAGAAAGGGTAGGTTATCAATTTGTCGGATTTTTTTATGTATGTTATTTTCTAAAAAATCAATAACTGGCGCAAATTTTATAGACTTTTTAGAGACACATTTGGTTATAATGACGATATGTGTGTTAACACAATAAAAATGCACCAAGTAAGTTTAAAAAAAAGTTATATTTCAAACGTTGGTATTATTTACTTTTTACTATTGAGAATAATGCCGTCGTATTTCTGTTGGAACCACTTCATGGCATCTTCCTTTGTAAGGCGGTGTGGGAAGCCAACTGTTCCAGACTTGCGCTTTCTATGTGCAACATTGTAACCTGAAATTGAAAACAAAGGCTTTTAAATGAAATTCATAAAGTTAATTATTGAAAGGGGAAATTATTTAATTTTAATAAGCATTGCCTTTTTACATTGGCAAATTAGCACTCATCCGGAAGTAAAATGTGTGTATAATTGGCAAGTTAACTATTAATCGTAAGTTAACCCCCAATGCAAAAACGACCCTAAACGGCTCAATGAATAAAGAAACTACTTAAACCATATCGCACGTTTAAAATATATTAACGTTAACGTTTTGGAAGATTCCATCATTCAATTAAAAAGCTTGAAACGGATATTTAGTTTTGACTAACAGATGTCGAAGATGTCTTTATATCTGTTTTTTTGTATGTTTACTACTTTGATTGCATTTTCCCACAAAATTTTTTGAAATAATTATCTTTATTATTAAACGTGCGATATATGCATATCTTTACCGCATTCCCGTTGCTTTTTCACATATCTAAACAAGGCGAATTTATATTGGCTGCGTTTCTTTATACATTCCAGATAATCCCATTTCACAGCCTGAATAAACAGAAAGCGTTTGAAATATACGTTAGCATATCATCAGGAACGTTCCAAAGAATAAGTGAACAAAAAGCTTTATTCCAAACGTTCAGAATAAATAAAGAAATGAAGCCATTAATTATATTTTTTATATTCGTCTTGATATCCGAATTTCATTCCCGTTAATAATTGTAAAATCTATACCGTGCAACCAAATAAATCTTTGGTCACATTAAGCATAGATTCCGATTATCTTACTTTATGCACATTACTGAGTGCCAGAGGCGAATTACCCACAAACACCTAATTAAGTGCAAAACACATAAACGCGAAATCATAGATAATGCTCACCTGGACGACCCAATACAACGTAGAAGTCCAGACCATAAATACCAATGGAAGGATCGTATTTGATACCCAAATCGATGTGTTCCTGAATACCAAAACCGAAGTTGCCGGTGGCAGAGAAATTATCACGTCTCAACTCGTATTCACGCACTTTCAGGCCGCGTTCCAAAATTTCTTCAGCCTTTGCACCACGCACTGTGCAGTGGACGGCGATCTTTTCATTACGACGAATGCCAAAGGAACGAACAGTATATCTGGCCTTTGAGAAAACTGGCTGTTGACCTGTCAGTTGTTCCAGCACCTACATAGACATTTGGTTCACATTAATTACAACAAACAGTAGAATACTAATTGCAAAATTCATATTACCTTAGCAGCACGAGTAAGTCTATCACCAGATTCACCGACGCAGATGTTCAAGCATAGTTTCCTGATGTGAAGCTCCCGCATTGGGTTCTTAGCAGGATCGCGTTTGATTTTCTTGACATTCTTTACATGAAAAGAAAACACAAATTAATCCATGAAAACATAGTTGAATTGAAGAAATATGATTGCATTGGATATAAAGCACTAAAAATCTGGGAAATTCACAACTCATTTTAGGTGTAATTATATTAAAAGAATTGATTTAAATGGATTGAAAAATTTCTAAACACCCACCGCCATGGTAGTAGAAGAAAAAAGAGAGATATGTCAATTATGGTTCAGTGGTCATTTCCTTTCGTCGGCAAAGCAGTGATCAAATTCTACCATATTACCCAACCGACGTTAGAACTCCATTTGTGAAAATATTAAAGCCCTGTATGCAGCTCTTAAGAAAACGGTCAAGAAAAAATTGCCATTATTTCGCGTGTGTGTCCAAGGAATTTTGACATTTTTGATACTTCACAGCCTGTTGCCTCACTCTTTCCTCAAGAAATAATGCAACGGGCATATATTTCTGTTGCAAACCCGGGCTGCCTTATGCTCTTTTTTCACAAAAAACTTTAGAAAACA